CCCCAAAACCCCAAAACCCCAAAACCCCAAAACCCCAAAACCCCTACTGTGAATCAGAAGAATGAAAAACGTAATCTGTTTGAAATGGCTGGGATTAAGCTCAATATGGCTATTTACGAATAATTTGGGAAGTTCATTGAGGTCTCTCCTTCTCCCTCACTATCGAAATGTTAAAGGCTAAGTACAAGCTTACCTTGAGGCTTCTTTTTAACTTTGTTCCTCATCTCCATCTTCGGCAGTTTTATCATATTAGATACTTTAGTCAAATACACAGATATTTTGCTTGACTTATGCACTGGTGAGCCTGGCTGTGTAGCAATATTCTTATTCTTTGATGGCAATAATCCAGTTGTGTTAATCCTACTTGATTCTGGACTTGTGCTTAAAACCCGTGTTTTAAGTCCATTTCTAGAACCTGCTCCCTCTATTCATTATTATTCAACATGTAACTGTAATTTTGGGTAAGAATTGATTCTAACTTCATAACTCAGTTTCTACGAATTAGCAGCTCTGAAGGGCAAATCTCAAATGCTTCTTATTGAGGAATACAAGGTTTGACTTAACATGTCAAAATACTCACCGAAGTAATGACTATTTTTGGGCAAGAAATTCTTAGTCTTCTTTCTCCCTTTTCTTGGAATAGATTTGAAGAGAGTAGGCATTTTCAACCTCTTGTCTTTCCTGAAAATTCCTGATGAATCGTAGGGAGCTCCGATATATCTATAATCGTTAAATTTCTCACTCGAGTGTAAGAAAATTTGAAGAATGGGACAGCTAATTTGTACTACTAATAACAGTGGTTACTTATAAAGACTGTCATCTTGGTTATCCTTCTCTCTAGAAGTTTGAATTTTAGACAGAGATTGCTGGGTTGATTTTATTTTCTCCAAATTGTATAATCTTTCACTGGGAAATGGTCCTCTCTTTACCATCTTTGCTCTCATCTTTTGGGAGCCAGTCTGAGAGTTTCCTTTAAACTTTGACGACCCAATTTCTTTCTGTGACACTACTTTTCGCAAGTGATTTGGATTAAAAAAACTTTGTTCTCAAGTCTCGTTGCCATTTAAATTTGCTTCATTCTTCTTCCTCAAAAGTATTCTTTTATTTTTGCCTAAATTTTTCCTTTTTTGAGGTGATTTCTCTTTATTATCAGTGGTAAGTAAGCTACCTCTCTGACTCAAATCCTTGTATGAATAAACCTGAGTGTTATCCTTCCTTACATCGCTAAAATTCGCTCTGCTTTGCCTTTTTCTCTTATACTTCTACACCTTTAACCCACCAACCCTACCTTAGTCGCTACTTTTTCAAGTCTTTTTGCTCTTTCCTTTGCTCACTGGTCCATCTCGATCTCTCTAAAAATCCTGAGTTCTTCTTCCTGTTGTTTCTTCCTATTATTAAGATTGTCCTTCCTGCCAGTTAGATGAAACAGTTCATCTCTAGCAGTCCTTACTGCCTTCTTGACACATTCAGGGTTCTCAAGGATTATACGGGACAGGATCGTCCAGGTGTCCTCGTTCTCTGAATTGTAGGTGAATAGAGTGGCTGAATTGGTATACTGAGCTTTTAGAGACTTGTAATCCTCAAGGTCTGATTTAAGCATCCTATGTGAAGAGTTGGTAAAATTATTAATTCAATTAAAATTGAAGAAGAAGGGGTTTTGGGGTTTTGGGGTTTTGGGGTTTTGGGGTTTTGGGG